GAATATTACCACAGACCACCATCGGAGTGTGCCTGCTTTAACGTAACGCCAGTACACGCTCCACTTGACGCCGCCTTTTGCACGATGCTCGTCTTCGATGAACTTTTCTGGAACGGCTGCCGATTGTTCTTCTTCACGCTTCTTTGCGTCCTCCTCGGATTCCGTTTCGGTCGTCTGCGTCCGCTTCAGAGCGTCGATATCTTCAGCCTGGGTAGGTTCGTGAATTGTTGCGCGACCGTGCTCCAGTTGAACCCATTGCTTCGCGATACCATGGCAGAGCTCAGTCCGATGTGTAACTAGGATAGTCGTTCTTCCATTGAGCAATGGCCCGGCCAGCAACTTTGCAACAATGAATTCAGCCGTTTGATGGTCAAGAGCCGACAATGGGTCATCCAGTAACAATACTTTTGCGTTGCTGTATACGGCCCTGGCCAGTGCTACACGAGCCTTTTGTCCACCAGATAACCCAATACCATTTTCGCCAATGTTCGATAGATCACCGTGCTTCAGCTCCGCCATATCAGGTAAGAGGGCACAAGCTTCCAACGTTTGCTTGTAGCGCCCCTCTTCAAATGGATATGAAAAAAGAATGTTATCACGAATGCTCATGCTCTGAAGCCAGGGGGTTTGAGCACAATACGCAACCATCTGGTCAGGGCGAATAAGCTCGCCGGCCGTAGTATCCAGCTCACCAAGCAGTGCTTGCAATAACGCAGTTTTCCCTGCGGCTACTTCTCCATAGATGACAGTCAGTCCAGGAGGAAAGGACAGGGTAATGTCGGAAAGCACGTTGTGGTCCACGCCTGGCCAAGCAAATGATGCTTGATACGTACTGAGCTCAGCGGAGCCCTCAGCTGTCACATGGGTTTCTTCTTTGTTGGGTTCTGCCATAAATTCTTCGATGCGGCCCATCGCAACGTACGCATTCAGAAGGGTCGTTATCAACTGGGGCAAGGCTCGAAGGTAGCTTTCCAACTGATTGAACAGCTCAATGGCAGGGAAAATGAGGTCGATACGTAGATCTTGTCCTGCCAACTTGGTGAAGGCATAGAAGGCCACAGCAGGGAATAGTCCGGAACCAAACCGTAGGATGAAGGCAAGTGAGGTCACGAAAAAGATGTTGGCGACACGTAAATGTAGCTCCTTTTGACGTGACTCGAGAACACCATCAAGCCATGCATCCTGCCATCCGTACCAACGAAGGTGGCGAATCGACTCAATGAACTGACTTGTTCGTTGAATCTTCTCATCTGTTGCTGATCGGCGCTTCTTCTCAAAATGAACTTGTAGGCGAGCAATGACAATGTTCAATAGTTGTGACACACCCAAAGCAAGTATGCCCAGCAGACATGCCCAGCCCAACATGCGCCATATGAGTATGATTGCAAAAATTGCACCAGTGGGTTTAGTGATGATGTCCGAGAATTCCCAGAAACGCTGCGCTATCTCGTAAGCATCGCTTCGCATCAAGTTCAGTATCTTTCCCATCGATGCAGGGTCGTTATCTTCCTTTGGAGCATTTTTGGTGTTTTTCCTAAAAACAGACCCAAGGGAAGCAAGTACTGTCTCTTTCCAATGTTTGAAAGCAGTTTTAGATTGTTCATGGGCTGTTTGAGTTTCGCCATTGATCCCTTCGTGTACTTCGCCAATGCTGTTGCCATTAGTCTGTTCATCTTTCCCGTCTTGTTTGGCGCCCAGGATCTTGCGATTCAGGGTCTTCTCATAAAGCATTGTGATGAGCTCTCCTCTGCACCTCTCATATGCGCGCCTTTGGTACCACAAGTTGAAGACGTTGAGTTGCGCGGAGGTCAAGCGCAATGCTAAAATCACACAAGCATACGTAATTGTTGCGCGATTGTGGTGATGTTCCATAGAGGCAAGGAGTCGTTGAAGGAAGACGGGCGTGAGCAGAGCTGCCATTGTTAGATTGAGGGTACAGAACCAAGATGATGTCCAAGACTTACTTGCACATAAGCGCACTACATTTAAGAATGTGGTGCGCAGCAGGTCCATGCCATTTGCAACAAAGACCTTCCTCGTTACTGACCCTTCGAGCGCCCCAAATGCATCATGCAATCGCGCGTGTTTGAATTCCCAGCCGAGGTCCCATATATCACTGTCTTCCATTTGTCGACTTTTACCCTTTTTTATTAACGGCTCCATCCATGATACAGTCATATATTGCCAAGGGGTCAAATTATCTTCCGGAGTGCGTAATTTGATAGTTGGTTTGTCATGGACGGCACTGATATCATTTCTAGGCAGCATTGGGTCCCGCAGTGGCATGTTAAGGATAATGACGATTGCCAGGAACGCTGCTGCAGGTGGAACGGCCCATGGAAGATCATTTGCCAGAAAAGTTTGCCTGTGAGATAACATGATGATTTGCTCCAACATGAGTCCTGCAAAGAGCATTAATAATGATAAAGATGCAGTTCTCGGCTGCTCGACTAGGATTATGGCGATTGTAATGGCCTAGGTAGCTTGTTAGCTATGGATGCATCAGGAAAATTTGGAGTTATGCATACCCAAGCGATTGCTGGATACATGGCCATTGGCTGATGCCAAGGAATAAACACGTGAACAGTTTGAAATGTAAGGCCGATTAATGCTATGACAAGAAGCCAGATGGTCGCGCTCAAAGGCCGCTGAGGCGATGCGGCTTCAAACTCATCTTCTTTCTCCTGGGTCTCCTGTACCAGGGGTTTCGTCCATCTTGGCCAGTACGGACTTGTCACCCTTAGAGAGTATCTCAACAAGACCAAGGCGGCAAGTATGGCCGGTATGGTTGCGACATAAAGTAACGCACATGGTGTAAACCGAGCAGTTTTTGGGTCCTGACCAGGTTAGTAGGTGTCGAACAAGGTGGTAGTTGCTGGGTACTGACCCAGAGGCGATGGCAATGTGAGATTGGTGGTATGTCTGAAAAGAATGATTGGTGGGATATAGGAGTTTGGAGCGACGCCATGTTGTTTATTGCCACCTTCAACAAGCACCCAACGGCAACTATTTGGACAAGACTTCCTTCCACCTGAAGCCCAAGCTGCAATCGATTAGTTGGACAATTGCGGGCATGTATACAAAGACAGAGATTCAGACAGGCTTGCTAGGCATCAGGGAAAAGAGCTTGCATGAGTAAGACAGATGTCGGTGAGGACGTTGAACAGTAGTCCGGAAAGGTATGCGGGCCGGGCTGGGGGCTGGCTAGCGTCCCCCACAAGCCTAACGTCGTAGCCTCCTACACCCTTCAAGCAGGAACCTTTGCTTTTTTTTTTTAATAAGGCGCACACCGTGACACTACATTACAGCTGCTCTGTCTACTGTCCTCGTGCTTTGCTTTTTATGCACTGCTACGTGCTGCGCAGCCGTGTCCATCTCGGCAGCCCATCAGAGTACACAGCCAGGACCTTGGGAGGACTACTACGTCATCTATTTCCCTAATTATTCCCGTACTACCAGGTAACCACAAGATTGTTTCCGCCAATGGACGGAATTACAAGCGAAGAGACATGCTCAGGGAGACCAACTCTCGTCCCTGATATCCTATTGCAACGGCTTCATATCGGCTGGGTGTTATTATCGTCATTATCGGCGTTTCTCTAGACCAGTGCAGAAGGAATCACACCCATGGCCACCCACAATCTGAGCCGGCAACAGCTTGCCGTTCACACGGCAGTATGGCTCTTCAGATTACCAAGCGTAGATACATAACCAGCCAAGAAGCGAAATCTCGTGGATCCGTCAAACTTCGCTCGATACCCAGACTCGTTGCGTCCCCGCCGCTAGCCTTGCATCATTTCCTTTTCAGGCCGGCGACCGGTCTTCCATCGTCCGATATTCTTGCTCAGCTTATGCAAGTCGAATGCTATCTGATACTCGAACGGTCGCGAAAGCAGTCTGCCTGCCTATATAGGCTGTATGTGCTACTAGTCCCTCTACATTACCGGGATTTCCAGCCACAGCCACATCATCTCCCATGTAGAATCAAACGTGTTCATGAAGCGCGAGTACTGCACAACTAAGGGGCTATCTGCAAGCGCGCGAGTGTTCCCCCGCTACCATCCAATCATCTCAGTGCCAGTACTCGAAGCCTTTCCCACCTAGGCTGCAGCGCTAATCCTGGGGGCTGAAGTCATGAGCCTCGCATTTACGGAATCCTTCGGCCAAATCCACCCAGCGGGCTCAGCCGCTGCATCTCTACCTCTTTAACTACCACGTTTGATTACGAAAACATCATTTGCCTTGTGTGTGCGTAAAAGCCGCAATGAGCATACGCAGCGGATATGTCACCAACTCGCCGATCTCTCACCATAGCTTTGGTCCGCATACATTTGCTTTGCTGGTATTACTAACGTGATAACTTCCTCTCTTGTGCTCAGCTTTATTGGCGTCCAGTGGAATCTGTGAAAATCCGACAAGGGTTTCCGCTGAAGTATGCACAGTCAAGCCTGCGAAACAAGCCCCAGCACTGCCACATGTATGCCAATGTGTTCCATGTGACTAGAAGGGATCATTCCTTCAATCCTTCGGAATCACTAAAATTAGGCTGACATTATTACTTAAATTAGGCATTCAGAAGCAGAGAATCCAGCAGAAACATCTAGTTCAATTGTAGTACTTCAATCAATATTCACATGTCCTCTACTACCATGGTCTTCGGCGAGCTTTCACCATCCCCCTCATGTGTTACGCGAAAGTCAGACCGATCGTCAGCAGAGACTCGACGCAGGCTGTCCACAGCCCGTAGCTCGAAACGCCGCCCATCTACAGACTCAGAGATCGGACCACAGATAGCGCCAGATCAATCACCCACTCGCCCATCTGGATCTGCCAACTCATATCAGACTCCATCAACTGCAGCCTTGAAACGACATCAAGAGACATCACCTGACGTCTTTGACGCCACAATACCACATAAACGTATTTGCGCTTCAAACACAAAGACTGCACATACTTCTGAACGGCAAGCCGATAGTGAAGAAATGTATTCCCAACCCAAGACACCGGACACTGCCAGACTCACACACGGCAAACTATGCAAACGAATCAGGGACAAGCTGAGCGAAGATGATCGAACAAAAGGCTTCATATACGTTCTCCAGGATCCAGGACGCAAGGAATCTGTCTGGAAAATCGGGTACACGAAGCGCGTGTACAATGAACGTATAGACGAACACAGCAACTGTTGCAATTTTGAACCATTTATTGCCCATGTGTCAGCTCAAGCGATTCAAAACTGCAAATTGCTGGAAAAACTCATACATCGCGATTTATGTCACAAGGTGAGGTATCGCTCCTGTCCCAACAAGATAAAGGGACATACCGAGTGGTTTGAAGTCTCGGAAGAGGTGGCGGTCCAGACTGTGAAGAAGTGGGAGCGTTTTATACACGAGGAGAAGCCGTATGATTCGCAGGGCAATCTCAATGTCGTGTGGAGTTATGTGCTGGAGAAACGGTCCCCAGCTGCTCTTGGTGTACTCGACATGTCTCACGACGCTCGACAGGAGCAATGGGCCGATATACTTGCGCCCCCAACGTATAACGACTACATCTATGCCTACCTAGCATACGCTCGCTCTGAAGTCAAAGCCACCTACGATTGGGTGTATATGTTCTTCTGGCAACTATCGACAATACTGTATAGCTTGCATACGCTTGCATTGTGTAGGAATCGCCCAGCGTTTTATGCGCTTGTTTTTGTGCTTACATGCGCTGTGTTGCCGAACTTTCGCCTTCAGTCCACTAAGAAGCAAAAGGTGAGCTCGCCCAACAAAAAGGCGCGAGAAACTTAGACTGTAGTTTTCTTTTCAAATGTACAGTATTTAGTCCATCGGTTTACTCGGCAATTCAAATTAGACATTTCATTTCACCACATTGGTCAAACATAAGAACCGAGCAAGCATTTTTCTTAAGTCGTATATTTTGTTTTACTTGGTGACTTCTATAGTCTTACAAACAATACTACAACCCGAAAGACAGCGCAACAAGTACTCGATACCTTAACGAAATACCGATTCTCAGTTGTACAATCAGGTATCCTGTCTTCATGCTAGGACAAAAGATAGTAAGATCAAACATGTATTTAGACAAAAATCAAAGCTCAGAGCTTAGCCTTGGAAACAATCAATGAGTTTCCGTCCTGGAGCGCCTTGACAGCATCAGTGACAAGCTCGTCAACAATCTCCTTGGCAGTCTTCTTCTCGTTGACAACGGCAGCAACCTTGCCCATGAGGAAAGGTCGGGCATTGTCCATGGTCTCGTCATCGATGTCGTCGCCCATCTTCTCGAGGTCGTGCTCGACAGGTATTATGCCCTTGCTGGTGAGCTCCTTAATTTCTTGTTGCCTGTTCTCTTCCCAGTTGCTGACGTATGGGTTGTTGCGGATACGGAGGGGTCGTCCGGTGAAGATGATTGTGCGGATGTTGTCATCCCAGCCAGCAGTGCGGACGGCTTCCTGGTGAACCTTTGGCGCACCAGCCTCCTCGCAGAGGATGAAGCGTGTTCCTACCCACACACCGGTCGCGCCAAAGGCGAGCATGGCGGCAAGTGACTGGCCGCTGTAGATACCGCCAGCGGCTACGACTTGGACCTGCTCGCCGGTCAAAGGCGACTTGTGGCCCTCAACCATCTTGACTGCGGCTGGGATGAAGACGGATGTGGGGACATCTCCAGTGTGGCCTCCACCCTCGCCTCCCTGTGCGCAGATGATGTCAACACCGATATCCAGGCACTTTTGGATGTGCTTGGGGTGTCCGATCATGTTCATGTATAGAACGCCCGCCTTGTGCAGCTTTTCGACAACGGCCTTGGGTGGCACGCCGACGGCGGAGACGAAAAGTTTGGCGCCGGACTCAATGATGACATCGATGAGCTCGCCCAACTTGCCCTTTGTGTAGTCGTAGCTATCCCTGGTCAGTTCATCGCGTCTTAAAGGTGGGCCCGGAGACTGGAACATACTTGGTCTTGCGAGCGTTGCCTCCCACCTGGGGAAGAAGCAGGTCAATACCGAAGGGCGCGTTCTTGTCGGTCAAGTATCCCTTGAGCTCAGCGATCTGCTCACGAAGCATATCCGGTGTGTATCCGAGACCGCCAATGACACCAAGACCTCCGGCATTGGTAACAGCTGCAGCGAGCCTGGGTCCAGCAGCCACGTTCATTCCGGCAAGAATGACGGGATGCTGGATCTTCAGCAGGTCGGTGAGTTTGGTGCGGATTTGCTCTGTCCTGTGTTAGCCATGGGCGCATGTGAAGTAGGACTGTGCCACTAGGGCGATGGCGACATACGTGGTGCGGCCATGGTTGCGGTGAAGTGAGGAAGTATCTACAGCGGGAAGAAGGGTAAGACAAAACAAGATAGCGACGCAGGTGAAAGCGACGAGGAGTTAGTTGGGACCTTATGGGGTGGTGAGGAGAGGAGTTGAATCCTTCCCAGCTCGTCTCTCACAAGACCGAGCCGTGAGCCGAGGCACAGCGCAAGTGTCACGCGGAGAAGGCTAACTACATCCGGAGCTAGCGCTGTCTGGGGAAAGCCGGGACTAGCATCGCCCGCATGGTGTCGTCACGCTGATTTGTGATCGACTCCGACTTGGATAACCATGTTATCTAACACTCTGCGCATGCCGGTGCCGAGGGTTATATCCCAAGGCTTCGTTCGCCGTATATCACGGCCGTGCCCAGCCTACAGTCGACATTTATCGGGTCAGGCTGTGGAAAATTTTCCACCATGGCAGAGTAAACGCCAGACCCTCGTATCTGCATGCCATGCGCCCAGCCGGAGCCTTTGGCATCAGTTTCGAGAACCGCAGAAATTTGCTCGACGACACATGTCGAGCCTGCAAGATGACGAACATACTAAGAAGCGGCACATCTTCATCGCTCTGGGGAGCAACATGGGTGATAGAACAGCCATGATTGAGCAGGCATGCAAAGAGATGGAATCGGGCGAAAAAATACGCATCCTACGGACTAGCAACCTTTGGGAAAGCAAAGCCATGTATGTTGTGGATCAGGAAAATTTCGTCAACGGTGCCTGCGAGGTATGTCCTCTGGATTTCGTTATCATAACACTGCACTAAACCACGTAGATAGAGACTTCACTTTCACCTATCGAGTTGCTAGATGAACTGCAAGCTGTTGAGAATAGAATGGGCCGTGTCAAGGACATTGACAAGGGTCCTCGGAACATCGATTTAGACATCTTGTTATACGGCGAAACTGAATTCTCCGACGAAAGGCTTCAGATTCCCCATGCCCTAATGTTCGAGAGGGAATTTGTCTTGCGGCCGTTGGGCGAGTAAGCCATCTGTCACTTGTGCGGATGATCTCAGCTGACTGCTCTCAGGCTCATACCAGAAGACAACCAGGTCAATTTTCCATATCAGGAATCCATTCAGCAGCATCTAGCGAAGTTGCCAAAGTCCGAAGTGCCACTGGTCCCAATAGTGCCGCTCGCATCAGATTTTTCTCCAATATCGTCCGCCAAAACTGAGCAAAAAACGCGCATAATGTCCATTCTCAACATCACACCAGACTCTTTCTCCGACGGTGGTGTGAACTACAGGAAGGACGAAAAAATATTGGCCAAGGAAATCAAATCACAAATTAACAGCGGAGCAACCATCCTCGATGTAGGCGGCCAATCCACCCGACCCGGCGCAGTTCAAGTCTCTACAGAAGAAGAACTATCACGAGTCCTCCCCGCCATAAACCTCATCCGCTCAATCCCAGAAGCCAAAGACGTAGCCATCAGCATCGACACATACCGTGCCCGCGTCGCTGAGGAAGCCATCAAAGCTGGCGCCAACATGATCAACGACGTCAGCGCAGGCACAATGGACGCAGAAATGCTGACTGCAATGGGTAAGCTGGGCTGCACCGTCTGTCTAATGCACATGCGCGGAACACCAGAAACCATGAGCTCTCGCGAGATGACGAGCTACCCCGACGGCGTTGTCGAGACCGTTGGCCGCGAATTGCTGCAACGCGTTCGGGCAGCCGAAGAAGCAGGTGTCAGACGATGGCGCATGATCCTCGATCCAGGCATTGGATTCGCAAAGACGCTAGAACAGAATCTTGAATTACTGCGTCAGCAGCATCAACTCAGCAAGTATCCTGGTTTGGAGGGTATACCCTGGCTGGTGGGAACCAGCCGAAAGAATTTTATTGGACGTATCACAGGTGTCGAGAATGCTCGACAACGTGTGTGGGGTACGGCTGTGGCTGTCTCGGCGGCCATACAAGGAGGTGTTGAGATAGTAAGAGTACACGATGTGAAGGAGATGGCACAGGTTGCTAAGATGGCGGATGCGTTGTGGAGGAAAGGAGATTCTCCATCCAACCAGTCTGTTTTGTAACCTTGAACATGGACGTAAAATAAATAAAAGTGTAAATTTATCTGCAATACGAGTCGAACCGCAGAAGCTTTTCAGCCACCATAGATACGTGAAGTAACAAGAAACTTGATTGAAAATGCTAAATGCTATAAAACTACATATTCAAACATGGGCTACTTTGAGCAAAAATGAAAGTCTTCGTCAACTCGCCGGTTTTTTTACAACTTGCTCGCTCCACCCATCAGCTCAGCACCAGCACCGCTAATGGCCAGCTTGCCAGTCTCCTTGACCTTGGTCTGGAACAAGACAGTGTTGCCAACCTTCCACATCTCGGTAATGAGCGTCTGTCCAGGCAGTACAACACCGGCAAAGCGGACCTTGATGTTCTTGAAAGGTCCGTACGTTTGCAGAATGTGCTTACCCGAGACACCAAAGCTGCACAGGCCGTGCAGAATGGGTGTGGGGAAACCACCCGCTTTGCTGAATACAGGATCAATGTGGAGAGGGTTCAAGTCGCCAGAGAGACGGTAGATAGCAGCCTGTTCCTCGGTCGTGCGCTCTTCAACAACGCTATCAGGGGCACGCTTGGGAGGCTGGTGAACCTTGGTTGCGGCGCCGCGATCAGTGCCCTTCTTGGGGCCACCGAAGTTACCAGAACCACGGATGAAGACGGTGCTCTCATTGTAGAAGATCTCCTCTCCAGTCTTTGCGTCCTTGGTCACACTACCATATACAACCAGTCCAGCAGCGCCCTTGTCAACGACCTCAACCAGCTTGGGAATAGCAATCAGGTTGGCTTCTGTGGGAATGGGGAACTTGCGAATCTCAAGGTACTGCTCGCCGTGGAGAAGCATGCGGGGATCGAAGTTGGGAACGATCTCATCGAATGTGAAGGGAGCTTCGGCGTTGAATGGAGGAACGACACCAAAGGTGGGGATAACCTGGAAGTTCTCGTCACCCTCGTACACGAATGGAAGATCGGTACGCTTGGCACCAACGCCGAGGTCTGTTGTTACTGGTCAGATTTTGTATTTAATAGCATTGAGATGCAGGAAACTTACTGTAAAGAATCACGTCACGCTCAGTGTAGTTGAAGGGGGTACCCTCAGACTTGGCAGCCAAAGCCTTCTTTTGAGCCTCGAGGATCTCCTCGTTGCTCTTAGCAGACTTCTTCTTCTCCTTCTTGCCCTTGGAAGTGTTCTCGATATTTGCCATAATGGACTTGAGTCCACTGGCGTTGTCGAAGGGGTGATCAGCGCGGCCGTCATCAAAGTTGGTAATACGCGACCATTGAGCGAGAACAGCCTCGGGAGTGAGCTTAACATCGACTGGGAAGCCATGACCACCGCTGCGTTGCCATCTGGTAGCAGCAAACCAGCCAGAGCCCATCTCGTACAAGCCACCGGTTGGCTCAGGGGCCTTGTCAGAGACAAGGAGAACGACCAGAGGAGCGTTGTAGTCGGGCTTAAGGGCCTGGACAACTTCCTCTGGCATAATGGTTCGGGTCATCTGGGTTCCCGCGTTGGGGGCAACGGTGTTGACAAAGATGTTGTTCTTCTTGCCCTCAAGAGCAAGAGACTTGGAGAAACCAAGAATACCGCACTTGGCCGAGGCGTAGTTTGCCTGGCCAAAGTTGCCGTAGATGCCGCTGGTGGAGGTAGTGTTGAGGATGCGGCCGTACTTTTGCTTGAGCATGTAAGGCCAGGCAGCCTTGGTGCATGCGTAAGTGCCGAACAGGTGCACCTTATGAATGACGTCCCACTGCTCATCGGTCATGTTTGCGAAAGCCTTGTCCCGGAGAATACCTGCATTGTTGATCAGAATGTCAATGCGACCGTACTTCTCAATGGCAGTCTTGATGACAGCCTCGCCATCCTGGACATCGGCCTTGTTGCCGACAGCCTCTCCACCAAGCTTCTGGATCTCTTGAACGGTAGTATCGGGGTTAACAAGATCATTGACCACAACCTTAGCGCCACGCTTGGCGAGCTGCAGGCAGTAGATGCGGCCAAGGCCAGCACCTCCACCAGTGACCAAAGCGACCTTGCCCTTGAAGTCAAGAGGCTCGCCCTTGGGGTTGGGGGGAAGTTGGTTGGCCTTCTCGAGCAGCTCAAGAGCGTCTGCAGGACCCTGAGGGTGCTCAGGCTTAGAAAAGTCGACGACGTCCTTCCACTTAGTAACGAGAGCCTCGGGTGTGAGCGTGTCGTCAGCCTTGAGCAGAGCGCCGGTTGCCCGCTCCCAACGTAGCTTAGCAACGTGTCCAGCTCCAGCCTCAAAGATGGAGCCTGTCTCGGTGGACGACTTGTGTGTAAGGACTGCGACAATGGGGACAACCCACTCGGGCTTCATCTTCTCGAGAACATCCGGGGGCATGACAGTCTCGGTCATTCGACTGGCGGCAATTGGGGCAACAACATTGCAGAGAATGTTGTATTTCAGACCCTCCTTTGCGAGTGTCTCAGTGAAACCAACAAGGGCGAGCTTAGCAGCTGCGCGAGTTAGCACTGCATCTTAGTTTTTGCTTGGATTTAAGCTTACCAGAGTAGTTTGTCTGTCCAAAGGATCCAAACAAACCAGCGGCCGATGCGGTGCTGATCAGTCGTCCGTACTTTTGTTTCCTGAAGTAGGGCCATGCGGCACGTGCGCACTTGTACGCTCCGTAGACGTGGACTTTGTAGATGAGATCCCAGTCGGCCTGCTTCATGTTCTTGAAGCTGATATCGCGGAGAATGCCGGCATTGTTGATGAGAATATCGATACGACCAAAAGCATCGATGGCCGTTTTGATAATCGCCTCTCCGTTCTCTACTGAGTCGTAGTTGGCAACAGCTTTGCCACCCGCGCTGCGGATTTGCTCGACAACCTTGTCTGCGGCCTATGGCGTTCGCGTCAGCCACTGATACAGTGTATCTTCATGTACCTGAAGCTTTTTCCGGTTCAAGGAGAAAAACATACCGCTGAGCCCTGGCCCTCGCCCTTAAAACTGCTGCCGAGGTCGTTGACCACGACATTGGCGCCGCGGCTGCCATAGAAGATGGCATACTCGCGACCCAATCCACCACCAGCGCCTGTTACAACGACCGTCTGGCCGTCGTATCGCAGCTCTTGTGCAGTCATGATGTGTGTGTGTGTGTATGGGTGTCTTGTGAAAGAGATGGCTCTTTGCTCGCGTCTGGAGCTGTGTCGCGACTGTGCAAAGCTCAAATAGATGCAGCAAGCAAGGAAAGTGTCACAAGTCAAGTGGGAATCAGCAAAGATCCCGGGATATCAAACGGGAAAATGGGAAAGCTGGAGATGAGAGGAAAGGATGTCAGAAGTTATGGTGGCAGTCAATGTGAAGTCGTTCTCACGGTCATGTCTCATGAAAGCAGCCGAGCTGCTGGCGATGACGAGTTACCTCGGTCCCGACGGCAGTTGGTCATGTGTGGAGAATTGCGAACCGTGCGCCCTCGCACTTTCACATGTCCCTGCACCGTATTACCTGATGTTGTGTTACTGCTGATGAACTCCGGGGTATCATATGACAGTCGCCAAAGCCGCGTTCCATCTTGTCTGGGGTCTCCATACATGGTTCCTCCCAACCATGCATAGCCCCGGATCTCGGAGCCCTTGGCCAGAACCGCACGTGATGACGCGCGAGCTGATTACATACTATCTTGTCACGTCAAATGCCGTTGGAAAAGTAGGATAGGAGTAGAGTATGCCCCATCGGGATACGCAAAAGCTGCATCTATGCATTTTGAACGTAGCAAGTCCAGCCCTTTTATCGTAACCTTACCAAAATACACCTCCTTCAAAGTCGAACGCAGAAGATTGTCAAAGGCCAAAACCACTGTTACGGCCAGGAAGTTGTTGAGAAGTTTCCGCGCACATGAAAAGTCTATATGCGGACGTACGGTATCGCAAAGGCTGTAACATATATACTTCTACCTCCCCTGGAATTTGTTGGGCAGGTAGCAGCGTCATCTGCTTAGCGTCGATCCCCATTCTGGACGAGAATCACATCGTACAGCCTCTTTGTCCACCCATCAAGACTCGGGGAATATAAACGCCAACCAGTTGTGAAGCAGCATCGTCTCTGAGCAACCAAGTCCATGAAGTGATACTCGAGCAGATTGCCTTTAGTCTGCTTCACATCCAAATAGTGCCGAACAAGATACCGAGCCGTACACATTCTTACCGACACCGCTTCTCACTCCTGGACAGCAAATTTTTATTCTATCCATTGCTAATATAGCCCGGCCATCTTGGGGTATCCATCGCCCAACTCGGTTGAGCTTGACCTCCCTTCTCGAACTCTCCTCTTAAGCTTCGAGTATGTTCACGTTCCCTGCTCCCCGAATCGCGCTGTATACGCATTCTAGCGAGAACAGGATAAGGCGCCGTGGATGGTAACCATGTACTTGCAACACTAGTGCAGCTTGTGAGGAGTCGTGGTGAACGCGGTTATCATCGTCTCGGTCCGAGAATCGCGCATAGAGCACATTCACGATAGGGCTGTGTGCACGGCAGATGCAGGAGGCAGAGTGCAAGGACCTGTTCAATGTACATAGGTGGCCTAGTAGGGGTTCCGCGTGGCTGGAGTGGAACTAGAATTGAGCACGGACAACGCGGCTGGTTCGCAAGTCCGGTGAGTCGTTGAAAGCCTCTCTTGTTAACCTCTTTTGACCTGTAACCGTATCCGTATCCCTTTCTGTTCGCTTTTGTTTCTACTGCACACATGTCGTATTCCCAGAAAAATGCCTCGTGCTCTGTACTACAGTGTGCCTGTTTAGCGGGACAGAAGCTACACATATAGCTGTGAACAATGTCTCCCATTGACTAATGTAAGCATTTTGTATTCGGAACCCAATGTTGTTCATCAGATCCAGTCGGTTCGCTCCATGCGCACAAGGAAAGCTCCGTGACTAGGTAGCCATTTAAAATCACCAGCTCTGCCTTACAGGGTCCGGGGAGAATGCGCCCTAAACCTTCCAGTGGTATGTGCATCAGCCTGTCATCAGGCTAAAAAGGACTGCCCGTCTAAGGGTCAGCTGAGTGCGTGTCCGGAATTGATACAGGAAGGGATTTGCGCAGCATCGTACGTGCCACCCTGGACAAATCATTCAGATGAGCGTTTTGCCGACTGAACGACTGTTGGAAGTATTTGCCGTTGGATTATTAGTTACATACTAATGTGACGATGTTGGTTTGGGAGGCCTGTCCCGAGGCCATGTCAACGGTGTCATTGTCGACAAGACTGTCAGCGGGCGGGGCTATCCGCCCGCCTGATGCATGCACCACGTGCTAGTCATTGACCAAAAAACATGCGTTAGCGTGGGGGTTCTCTTTGTTCTCATACAAAGAATGGTGAAAAGGAGGTGTGATGGCTACCGGCTTCCAGCCTTGTCATGAGTCGATGTCATGATGATCTGACGTTACAGAGCCTCTCAAACAGGGTGATCTCTGAAGGCCGTAGCAGCTCTGCCCCCTTCTCAGGCCGTTTCTGCACACGAGCGCCAAACACCCGTCTGTCCGGCAATGCGGCTTGCCGAAGACAGGGATGGCTCCCAGCGATGGTGTAATGTCATCATGCAACTGTTGATTAGGTCTAACTCATGTCGATTCCTTGAAAGTGCAGCCTATTCTCTTGCGGGACTCAGCCTCATTTTTCATCATCCACTGTCGGCACGTTGGTAGGAGATTACGTGCGGCAGGATAGGGGAAGAGCCTATGAGCCGAGTCCTCATTCTCGTTCCATGCTAGCCGATATTGCTGCTACTCTGGCGGTCTTTGAGAGGTCTGTACTTCGCCAGAGCTTGGCGATCCTTGTCCTGTACGATGATGAACTAGCTTCTTGGGAGTAGGTACAGCGCCTAGGTCCTCAATGTCGGGGGTGCTCAGGTTCCCGTGTCCGTAACCTACGGCTTATGGCCACCTGGTCAGCATCCCCCTAGTGACGTTGGCAGTCGCCACGATAGCGGGTAATTTTGCGCCTGTGCCGAGTCTGTTGCCAACTCACAGCATTGTGCAGATCGCAGAGGTGGAGTGTCCATCTGGTCGGTTCATCATCGACACAAGCATTAGGTTCCTTCTGTCGCTTACTTGCATCTTGTTCAACATTGCCTTGTCCCCTCGGTAGAGTGTACTGCAGTCGACTTCGGAGCACGCGAGCTGTTCGAGCCATAAATTCCGTCCAACGAACATAGCAATGAGTGACGACACAGAAAGAGTGAGCGTCCACGGCCGGATTTTCCAGAAGATATCGCTAGATGAGAAAATCTATTTCGCCCCGGTGGCCATCGACGACCGCGAGGAGAGCAGACTGACTGCCCAACATGATCTCATGACCAGACTCTTGGGGAACAGATTATTTTCCGACCGAATACCAGTAACAGAACCTCAGTCGATACTGGAATGTGGTTATGGTGGAGGCGACTGGGCTGTCCAGTGTGCGGATGAATTCGAGGACTGCGAGGTGTGTGCTCCGATATGCTGACCGTGTTGGCGAAGATGGGTTGATTCTAGCAATACTCGTCACCTGGCCAGCAGATATTGACTACTACAGGTTACGGCTATTGATATATTCCCCATGTGAGTGAATCAGACGTAGGGGATGTTGGTCATGACGAGTCTAAGCTAATCTTCCGTCCTCCAGGCAGGTTTCAGACCAACCCGAGAATTTAGAACTGATCGGTCACAATCTTAACGATCCACTTCGCGATCCCGACATTTTTAAAGCAAATCAATATGACTTGATTCACTCTCGATTTGTATTTCCGGGTATAAAAACAGGGAGATGGCCTAGGTACATCAGAGACATGAAGCTGCTGCTACGACCAGGAGGATGGGTTCAAGTCATGGAGTACCTCCCCATCATCCAATCTCATAATGGGCGTCTCACAGAGCATTCTGCAGTCAGGAGGTGGTGGCAGTCCTACCAGGCTGCAATGACAAGGATGGATAGAGATCCAAGGATAGGCCGTCGCTTGTCTCAGCTGCTTGTTGAGAACAGGTACCGCGACGTAGCAGTCGATATCTTGCAGCTCCACATCGGTGGCTGGCCGGCAGGTAGGATCATCTCTTCTAACATGCCGCAACATCGTAGATGCTACCGCCATGGGCGAGCTTGCCATGGCGTAGAAGCAGTGTTGCACCAGTGAGGAGATGTTGACATTTTGAACAGACCCAGCCAAGGCCAACATGGGAGAAGAGGCTATCGATGTAGGTCGTGGCTTTTGATAACAGTCAGGAGGTCCAAGGTACTGACCATGCCCGTCTGGGTGCAGATAATCGGCGATCTCCTCGAGTCAATTGGGCTTTGGCCATTCACGGCGGAGCTTGGTTGGACGGCTGCACAGTTTGATCATCTCATGGGAGAAGTTCGCGAAGAGCTCGAGGATGTCGAGTTGAAGCTATACATGGAAATGTATGTAGCGACGCAAGAGTAAGAGACACAAAGCAGCTGACTGTGTGCTAGATATGTCGGACGAGGACGGAAGAGTACTGGTTAATGCGGTGTAGGATTCTCATACAGCGAAGACTGGTCTGTTGCAAGGCGCGTCTCGTGTCAGCAGTGATGTTGGAGCCTGAGTCTTGTGTGGAACAGAATCGTGTGGTTGCGACAGGATGACGTGCAGGATTGTAGCATTCGTTCTAGCTGTCGTCAAACTAGTTTGGGTTGTTTGGTCCTTGTAGTTTGTACGTGACAATTCATTGTGCCCGTCTACATGTAAGCTTGGAAAGAGACGGCAAGGGTTGGAGCAACGCGTGTTGTTTTATGAAGCATCGATACATGAGAGGCGAGGCTACTGCTGGCAACGGGGCCATGATGGCGGCTCTGCAGGCAGACCATGGGCGGATAGGTGGGTTCGGGCTGCAGCAAAGACGTAGCAGGAAAACAATGGGGGAAGGCGAAAGACGAAGGGACGAGGGAAGTAGGGTAGAGGAAAGGAGAGGAAAGGAGAGGAAAGGAGAGGAGAGGAGAAGACGAATACTGTGAGTCGAGGACGAGGAAGGAATGATGAGCAGTAGAGGCAACAGCACTAACTTTCCTCCTGCCACCTCTGCCACCACTAGTACTTCGACCACCACCAGTACTTCGACCACCACCTACGTCAAGCAAGCAAGACGCGTCTTCCCCTTGACAGCATGGGCGCAATCGGCCACGCCTCTGCTCATCTTCGGGGTCCAGGGGCTGATTGGCATTGCTGTCATTTCACAAGCCTCTCGCCCCGACAGCTTGGTAGCGAAAAACCGTCCGATGGGGCCCTCTCCTGGTTGATCCTTCACGCTCTCGCTCTCGCACTCAGCAGCCAAAGTGCCACGGCTACTGCTGATTTTTTATTTTATTTTTATTCTTATTTGCTTACTTGGGCGCGGCACTGACGCTGGTTACTCTGTTGCAGGCATGGCTTTTTGCTGCCCACACCGTACTCGCGCCCTGGAAGCAAGCAGTGTGGCGCCTATGATCCATTACACCCCCATCGCCTATCGACGTTGAACTCTCTCCGTGGCCGTGCGCACATGCACTGCATCGGGGAAGCGGGTGCGATAAACGAATCCTCGTCGAACACAACCAAGACCGTTGTCGTGCCTCGATTCGGCCCGCCATGACCGGCCAGACGCCATCTATCGTCGGCAGAGACGCTCTAGGTATGTAGCTATGTGTACGTTATGCGCGGGGTTATTATGTACATGTAGGTACATACTCTGTGTGTACACACGCTACATACATACTGCCATGTGCAGCCCCGCAGCACTCGACGCCCATATCCTCGGCTGGCAGTAGCTTGACGACAGGCCTCCAAGCGCGTCATTCAGGATTGTTACTACTGTACGCATCGTTATGTCCGTTATGGCTCCATCGTTGCCAATGCCAATGACGACATCATGCCAATCATTCAAACGACCAAGACGCCAAAGACGCGCCGCCTCCATCCAACTACAGCAATACACACTCGCCTTTAATTTTTCCGAGCTTCGGGCTCAATTACTCGGGCCACCGCCAGCTTTTGATCAACAAGCCCACGGAGCACACTATTTAGCCGGCTGCTACCTTAACAACATCTACAAAGCGTATAGCGCCCTCGATCCGCCTTCTCCCTTCTGCCGAACTCGGTGTGCGCGGATTACATTCCCCGCACTCCATCTTGCTTCTCCAATGTTGTCGATGAAGCCCGTGTATCGACAGGGAAAATGCCCTAGTGCTCCGCATATGTACATGGACGATGCCGTCTCCGCATGCTGGACGGTATAAGTACCCATCAACATGCCCGTGGGGCCGTTACCGACTCCATAAAAACTTCCATCGTCATGTTAACCGAGTGGCTTATTCGCGCTCTTTTCGTAAACTTGGCTGTTGCCAGCAAAACTAAACCAGCACCTGCCAATGCAAGATTCACCACGCTGGTTACCTTTGGCGACAGTTATACGGATGAAAATCGCTTAGGTTACTTCATCAACAACAATGGCTCCGCTCCGCCAGTGGGTTGGGAGCAGCCAGTGGTACGTTGACCCACTTATAGTCATTGTTGTCTGTCCTAACCATACAATGCAGGGCTTGAAAACAGCATCCGGAGGACGGTCCTGGGCTCGATTGGCCAGTGACTACTCTGGCGTGAAGCTCTACAACTATGCTGTCTCCGGGGCTGTGTGCTCCAACCAGGTAACTCCAAGGCTTCTCGCCGGCATTAATGCGCCTTTCCCCGACATTGCTGGCTATGAATTGCCCGCTTTCATCGCCGACTCCAAATACGTCAATCCGAACGGCACCAAATTCTTCACTGGCAAAGCCTCGGACACTGCCTATGCCATCTGGATTGGGACTAATGATCTCGGCAATGGCGCTTTCTTGACCGATAAACAGTTGCCTGGCAAGACTGTCATTGACTACGTGGACTGCATTTACGACCAGATTACCCATCTTTATAATAACGGCGCCCGCTACATTGTTCTCTTGAACCTGGCGCCTCTTGAATTGCTGCCACAATACCAACTTCCCGAGAAAGGTGGCTTGCAATCGACGCAATTCTTCAACGACGCCCCCGGAAAGAATCTTACTGCGCTCCATGGCCGCATGAAAAACACGGTTGCTGCGTTGAACGGGGTATTCAAGTACCGCACACCCTACCAGTTTGATTATACGGAGCTGTGGGACGGCGCCACTGTAGTGAATTTCGACGTCAACGCTCTGATGCAGGAAATTTACTATCACCCAAGCAAATACCTCAATGGCACTGCACCGCCCAATGTAGAGGGCGCGGCGCATCTGTGCAATGACCAGGGAAGCAACTGCACTACGGCTAGTAGTCTGGATAGCTTCATGTGGTATGACCCACTGCATCCAGGTGAGCAGACCAGCCGCGTCATAGCCAGAGAATTTGTCAATGTACTCGGTGGCGAGAGCAAGTATGCTACTTACTGGGGGGAGTGACGAGCGATGGGCTGAATGACTGGCAAGCAGGGATGATTAATTTAGAAGAATGAATAAATGCAAATGTCTACAACGCCATCCAGAAATGCTAAGGCTAATACTGTTGCCAAATGATGTGCGCTGTACGCCGAAAACGATGCCATCTGCATCAGGGAAAAGAGAGTAGAAACAACAGCCCTGCTCAAAACCAGGAAGTGAGTCGTCAAAGACATCTACACCAACACAACACTCACACTCAAATACTCCGACACCATCTTTCCAAACCCTTATCCCCACCTCTAATCCCCTTGAGCACCTCACCCACCTCTTCAAGCGCAACATCACACCTCACCATGCCAAACGAGCCCACCTGACCCTGAACAACCGGCATGCACAAACCCAGCTCTACGAGACCCTCCCACTCGCGCCTCGCTACATCTTTACCCCATACCTTGCTCGCCCCACTACTGCTACTAAGTCCACCCGCCGCCGATTGAATACGCGCTCGCGAAGCCAGCATGACGTACTCATCGTAGGCCATGTTGAAATTGCACGTGTCCGAGTCGTGGATGATGTCTAATCGGGCTGCAGCGATAAGCAGAGAGAGTGCGAGGGTCGATAGCGAGGGCATGAGAGATAGCTTTGAGTCTGGGGCGCTGAGTAGATAGCCGGGCTGGAAGGGCGTTTCCTGGCTGAGAGTGGCGGTGGGGAGGAGGAAGGAAGTTAGGACTTGAGGGACGGATTTTGTGAGGTAGAAGCTGGATGCGAGGTGTTGGGTTAGGAAGGATGGGGTTGAGAAAAGTGTCTGTGGGTTGGTATTAGTCATGTGAGATACAGATGGTTGCGAAAAGAGGGACTTACGGAGATGTTGGCATTCCATTCGCTGACCATGTCTTGCTTTGCATCACCTTTTTGTCCTTTACTCGGTGTGCTCTTGGCTCCACCTCCCAGAACTCCTCGCTCTTTGACGCTCAGTTGTTCTGGTTCCAACGTCAAGCAAGCCTTGCACATGGTCTGGAAAGCAGTAAACGACGTCGCTAGCTTGAGATGCACGTATCGATGGCTGAACCGGCTCTTGACACGCTTCTCCAGAGTGTTTGTCACATCGATGCGCGTCGTCAATCCCAAAACAGCAATGGGAGCTTTCCGCGATTGTGCAATGTCAAAGAGATTGTACAACAGTGTCTGGCGGGGATGATGGGCAAAGAGGTCAAACTCGTCCATAATGAAGATGACTGCTTTGGCTACTTGGTCCGTATCTTCTCCCGTTTGTTCAGACGGATGTGAGAGCAGAGCGAGCAGGGTGGCTAGCGTGTCGGCGTAGTTCTTACCAGGCCCACTGCCGTCTTCTTCTATGTCCATCTCCTTGCCTAGCTGGCGCCAGATTTCTCGGAGCGCAATCTTGTCATCGGTGTGTACAAAGCCGTTCAGTCGAACAACATGGTAATGCCCACCATTGTCTTTGGAAACTTCGGAAAGGACCTTGTTTACCAGCGCCGTCTTCCCACTACCCCGAGCACCGATGATAAGCATAGAGTTTCCCTCGCCAGCAGTGATTGTGTGTTCGACAACTTGGTGTACCGATTTATACTCTTCGTCTAAGCCAACCAGAGGCGAGGGACGTTTGCCTGTGATTCGTTCCATAACAATAGTCTTGATCAAATCCAATTCATGGCCCGGCGCTAGGTTACTATATATGAGAGGTGGCGCAGAACTTTTCTTTTGCGCCGAAGTTGGCTTATTGAATGGACTGGGTTCGGTAGGATCCAAGAAACTGCCCAAGGCACTGTTGCCATCCACATCCAAGTCGTCGTCGTCATTGTGTGTATCGGCCTGACCTTCAACATCTGACCATCGCTCTTCGTCTTCGTTTGCAATATGATCGGTGTGGTTCAGGCGCCGTGTTGTGCTCGCGGGTAGTCGTTTGTTTCTTGTTGGAGAGGCGTCTGCAAGATCATCCCCGCTCGCTGCTATGTTGGCCTCCTTGATTGTAGGTTTGCGCCGTCTGGGGGCTGTTGCTGGAACAGTGATTCCGTCTGCGCCAGACGTCTTCAGCACCGCTTTCTTTCGTGTACTTGTCGCCGCCTTTCTAGCAGGCGGAGGTTTTGGAGGCGTAGTGGCCTTGTTGAAGCCCTGCAGCTCATCCTCTTCACCCTCGTCTTCTTCGGGAATTGGACTTGGTTCCTTCTTCTTTCTAGGAGCTTTTGCTCGGGGGGCTGCTGGCTTGCGCGCAGTCTTTGCGCTAGGTTTCGCAGCCGCCGGACGTGCTGCCAAGGGAACAACATTGATTCCATCTCCGTTCGCAGCGTTCCGGGCTGCCACCTCTGCGTTGGTAGGTCGACCCCTCCTTCGTTTGGGTGCAGCGGCTGGCTGTAGTTCGTCTGCAACATGCGCAGCGTTTGCCACATCTCCTTGTGGCGCTGCCTGTGGCAGCTGACGGTTCGCTTTGGATGGTATTTCTATGTCGAATGCGCCTTCAAAATCGTCATAAACGTCTACATTTTTCGCTGTTGCTGGCTTCGCAGCTGTGCCGTTTGCCGCGCTCTTTAACGTCCTCCCCTTGGCTGCCCTAACAAGTTTCTTTTCAACCTTTGGTGTTTTGCCATCGTCTGGATTGCTGACAGATGGCTTGGCCAGCCTGCCAGTGGGTTTCCTTGCCGACGGCTTTCTTAATGCGGTCGACTCGGTGGTGTTGGGGGCATCGAGCTTTCTCCGTTTCGCTGATCGTGGAGAGTCGTCCATGATGATGAATTATATTTCGTCGAATGCGTGAAGGGTCTGTCGATGGATGTTCGTTACAGGGTATGCGCCATAGCAGTTGTGGTGAATGAAAGGGATCCTCCTAGCAACCAGATGCTAAAGTTGTTGCTGGTCCAGGCGCGTCCCTCTCCAAAGGCGCGTCGTCGCGCTCCCACCCCTGCATTGTGCCAAGACCCCACCTCCGGCCAGACTACACTGTGCATGCAGCACGCCCTACAATTGACTTCCCCACTATCGCCATCGTTACTAGCCTCAACATAGCTTGTGATAAGTATTTAGATATTAGATAGTCATGTCTCGCACCCCTTTCTTCTCACAATCATATGCACAATGGCTTCAACGCAGAGTGCCCAGTCCAACCTAACATCTTCTCCACACAATGTCGCACCACCGACACTGGACGATATTGAACTATTCCAACACTCTGATAATGACGCTCCCCGCAACGAGGCATCATTTTCTCTGCCACCTACCGATGGAGGCAAGGATGCCTGGCTCTGCCTGTTTGGCTGTTTCATGCTCGAGGCAATGATCTGGGGGTTTCCCTCGTGCTATGGTGTGTTCCAAGAGTACTATGCAACCAGTGATGAGTTTGCGGGACAAAGAAACATTGCAGTTGTGGGTGCTTGCGCAATGGTAATTTCCACAGCCCCCCATATAGATTCAAGTTTAAACTATATCCTAGGGCATCATGTACATGGACATCACTTTGTGGTTCGCTATGCTCAAGTACTTTCCCAGATTCCGCCGCTATGCGACTCCGGCTGGTCTGGTCGTCGTCTGTCTTGCACTTGGCCTTGGGTCCCTGTCAACAACTGTCACCCACCTTATTGTCACCCAGGGAATCCTGTACGCGCTGGGCGGTGGTTTGGCATGGACTCCCATTCTCTTCAACATTGAAGAGTGGTGGGTTCGTCGTCGAGGATTCGCATACGGGGCAACTATGGCTGGTCTCGGATTGAGCGGTGCCATTCTTCCTCTAATCCTGGAATGGCTCCTCCAGTCCTATGGCTTCCGAACAACCCTCAGGGTTTGCGCCCTCAGCTTTGTGGGCTTGAATTTCCCAATCATCTTCTTCTTCAAGCCGCGTCTCCCTCTATCTCAGACTTCGCAGTCTAGAAGCTTCGACTTGTCTTTCTGGACCTGCTCAAACTATCTCATCCTGCAGTCCGGGAATGTCATTCAAAGTCTTGGTTTCTTCCTTCCTGCAATATATCTCCCCACTTTTGCTCGCTCCATTGGCGCAAGCACTGTCCAAGGTACTATAACCATCATACTTGTCAACGCGGCAGCATTTGTTGGGTCTCTCTGTATGGGCTTGGCCACGGACAAGTACCACGTGACCAACTGTCTGCTGGTCTCTGCACTCGGCTCAGCTGTGGGCAGTTTCTTAATCTGGGGTTTCTCCACATCATTAGCACCCCTGTACATCTTTTGCGTCATCTATGGGGCGTTTGCTGGGTGCCAGTCGAGTGCCTGGAGTGCCATTGTTGCCGACACACAAAAGAAAAGAAGGGGTGCAGACTCGGGCTTCGTATGGGCCTGTCTCTCCGCTGGAAAAGGCGTTGGCAACCTATGCAGCGGTCCGCTATCGGAAGCGTTGATGCATGCTGGCAATTGGAGTGCAGGTTTTGCTTATGGCAGCGGTTATGGTGCATTGATTGCTTTTACTGGAGTGACGGCACTTTTGAGCGGATGGGGATATGCGGCCAGGCGAATTGGATGGATTTGAAATAATGATTTACAGTTCAACATTGCGCATTGCGCATTATGGTGCCGAGGCTCGTATGCGATTGGCAACGTTGTATCACACTCATTAAGAAATGCGCGAGGATGTAGAGTAGAAGACGAGAGAATGGTTCGATGGAGAATCCAAGAGAGCGTTTGTCACAGAAGGTACATGGTGGTTGGGTGGTTGCGCCAATGAGCTTCGTTGCAGGTTGGTCTTGGCAAGGAATATACGCGTACGCATGAAACAGACCCACCAGCGTCCTTCATGCGCGATCGGGCTTCCCGCATCTCGTAAACAAGCATGTCACTTTTCTTAGCAACCCCAAGCACCTACCGATAATCTATCTGTGGCCGGGGAAAGTCCCCTGTGCCCTATGCGTGCTGCGCAAGGGCCGCCGATGTTCCAAATGCCGCTTCATCTTTCGACTGACAGCCGCGTCTCATTGGCACACGACCTGAAACCCCCGGTGCGATCAGCGGCTGCATCAAACAAACATTCTGTCCGAATCAGTTGGCAAGGCTGGGCTCTCAGCGAGTCCGTATGAGGCACCCTAGTTGTTGAGCCGCGCCGACGCAATGTCTAGATTGATCTCGTCAACATCTTACAGATGACAGTCGAGGTTTCATGACAAACGCCCTATACCAAACGACAGGCATCGTACGGGTCGTTTTGTTTCCAAGATCTTTAGATGAATAGCACGTCGATCGTTGTCCAGGGCACGTCATAGCTATCAGGTATATATATCTTCGAAGTTGGCCTCATGGTTTGAAGGCCACCAACAAGTCAACAGTTGCCAGTCACACACATTCTCTTTGAGAAGGTTTTCTTTACACCTTTCTCTCTTCCTTCTTTGTTATCCATTCTCTCGATATCCTAGCGATATTCGTACATTCACTTCGGCTGTGCCACTTTGTCCCTGTTACCCTTCACTCTCCTCACTCAATCACTTTTCAACGTTTCTACGCAGCTCACCTGAACGACTACCGCAATCATGAGGTCTGCTGTCATTCTCGCCCTTTCGGGATCTTCCCTTGCTCGTAAGTCTTCTCTTGATGAATCTTGTCTCAAGCATTGACTAACATTTCCAAGTGCCTTTTGGCGGTGCCATGAACGCCATGTTTGGTGCTAAGGAAGCCCGTGAGGCTCAGGCTCCTGCACCAGAGAACATGCCCAACTTCCCAGGTGCTGGCTTCCCCGCCCCTACTGGAACTGGCGTACCTTCTTTCCCTGCGCCCACTGGAGGTTTCCCTGGTGGTCAGCCAGGAGGTCAGCCAGGAGGTCAACCTGGCGGAGGTTTCCCTGGTTTCCCTGGAGGCCAACCAGGTGGCCAGCCAGGTGGTCAGCCCGGAGGTCAGCCCGGAGGTCAGCCTGGCGGAGGTTTCCCCGGCTTCCCTGGAGGCCAGCCAGGTGGTCAGCCTGGAGGTCAGCCAGGTGGTGGCTTCCCGGGTTTCCCCGGTGGCCAAAATGGAGGTCAGCCAGGTGGTGGCTTCCCGGGTTTCCCCGGTGGCCAAAATGGAGGTCAACCCGGAGGTCAACCAGGTGGTGGCTTCCCCGGTTTTCCTGGTGGTCAAAACGGAGGCCAACCCGGAGGCCAGAACGGTGGCCAGCCCGGAGGTCAGAACGGTGGCCAGCCCGGAGGTCAGAACGGTGGCCAGCCCGGAGGTCAAAATGGAGGTCAGCCCGGAGGTCAGAATGGTGGAGGTTTCCCTGGCTCCCAAGGAGGCCAGGCCCCAACAGTAAAGAGGCTCGCAGTCAACTACGGCCTTGCTCCCACCCTACATAAGAGGGGACAGGCCGCTACTCCCTCTCTGCCCGAATTCCAGCTTCTGTCCAAGGACGGTAGTGCCCCAGCTGCTCCAGCTGCAAGCGCACCGGCCACTGGTTCTCCTGCTGAAGGTGGCTCTCCATACGGCGATGAGCCCGCTGGAGGTGCCCCAACTGAGGGCGCTCCTGAGGCTGGCGCTCCCGGTGCTGGCACTCCTACTGAGGGTGCCCCAGAATCTGGTGCCCCTGGTGCCGGCGCCCCTACCGAGGGCTCTCCCGAATCCGGTGCTCCTGACTATGGTACTCCCACTGAAGGTGCCCCAGGTGCCGGTGCCCCAGGTGCTGGCTCTCCCGGCGCAGGAACTCCCCCCTTCCCTCTCCCCACCGGCGCCCGTCCTCCCTTCCCTCTCCCCACTGGCGCTCTTCCCTCCTTCCCCCTGCCCACCGGTGGTTTCCCCGGCGGCCCAGGTGGACCAGGCGGTAACGCTCCCTTCCCAGGTGCTGGCGGTCCCGGAGGCAACAACGAGAGTGGCAAGCCTGGTTCCGGTGGTTTTCTCGAGTGGCTCAGCGGTCTCTTCGGCAAAGGCAAGGGCGAGGGTGCCGGCCAAGGCGAGGGTGCCGGAAAAGGCGATGGCGAGTCCAAGGGCGACTACTAAATGGCTTGGACTAAACGATTATCCATGGGCATATGGACTCCATCTGACGGATCAGTGAAAAGATTGAGTGTCTAGACGACACGGGACCCTTTTTTTGGACATATATACATTTCCCTTCTTGTATCAAACCTTTTTGGCAACTTAAATACACGCTCCTTACTGAGAATCAAAGACATTTTCTTACACTGACATTGGAATACAAAAGAGTGATGTTTGGCTTGTGAATTTGAATTAGGGATATGAAAATTGTTCTTCCTCCTTTCGGAATATACAGACCATCACATCACGTAATCACTGTGCAGCTATCATTGCAAAGTATTCCATGGTTGCATGCTTGGCCTGTCACGGCACCGCAAACCCAGTATGCACTGTGATATCTATACCACCTGCACACCATATATATTTATATATATCTACTACAAGAATGGCAGTTGAAAGAGCGAAGTGAAGAAGTTGACCGCCGCCGTTGAGGGGAGCGAAGTCGGGTATCTCAGAAAGCCATTTCTCCGTCTTTTGTATCCTGCGCTATGCCTTTGAACTTTTTTTACAAGGTTCCTGCACCTTGTTCTTTCATGATGGTCGTCGGGTTGAAGAGACGCCTTCAAAATGCTGGTGTGTGTATGTATATATCGAACACCGCATTTATTTTGATAACAAAAAAAGAAGAATAGAGAAAACAAAACCTCAGATGTGTTAACAGAAACCTCCGAGTTACGCTTGTTGAAGCGCAAGAGAACTGTGCAAAATAAAAGGCCGTCATGTGTTGTTGAACACAGATAATTCGGTCGAAGTATTTCCCAGGAAACGCCGAGAATGATAATTAGTCTTGCTGGGTTGAATGCAGTAAGATCATTAGACATGATTTTTTTCGTGTCATATTAGTTAGAGACAGCCAAGCTCTTCATGCCATTGGTAACCTCGATTGCTGCTGCTTTGGCGACATCTACGAGGCTTGGGCTTTCTTCCTTGTGGGTGCCATTGGTTCCATTGACACCGTTGGCACCATTTGCAGTCTCGCTACCATTTGCGTTAGGAAGATCGGCAGACGGTGTGTGCAGCGGCTTGTCCATGTCCTTGACCTCTAGACCATTGAAGATTGGGAAGATGCCACGGGTAGCGTGGAAGTCATTGTGGACTAAAACACAAGTCAGTGAAGGGTTCAACCAATCTAAGCGGAGTTAAAACCTACCAATGTTGAGAAGGTACCAAGTGTCAATGACGTCCTGGATGACGTAACGCGATGGGCTGACACCTGCGTGACAGTTTGCCCATTGCTGGCCGAGTCTGTAGAACTCGTCCTTCCAGGCTAGAAAGCTGACTGTTTCGACAATTGTTGGCTGTACAATCTCCTTGCCTGGGAAGACACCCCACGTGACAGCGTTGGGTCCTTCGTTGGGGGCATTCGTCTTCAAGTCGCCGTCCTTGTTCACAGCATAGTAGGTGAATTCTGGGTCGCGCTCGAGACGGGTAATGATCTCGGCGATGTGCTCGGGTGAGACAAAGACCTCGAGGTACGACTTTTGGTAGACATAACCGTTGCGTGGACCCCAGCCAAAGACGGGATCAGACGATTTGACGCCGTTGACAGCAGGCTGAGAGTTGATGGTGAGGAAACCACGTCTGTTCAAGTCGATGAGATCGTCGCGAATAGATGACGCCTCCGCGGTAATGGGCTGTTCACTCCATGGCAACGATTCTAACTTGCCCTCCATGTAGCGTACAAACAGATTGGAGAAATCCCTGATGGTCAATGGCGTGCCCCATAGCTTGATATTCTGCTCGTTAGTGCCCTTGAGACCGATACCATATGAATCCAATTCTCCGAAAGCAGGTGATCGCGAATCTCCCCAACGGCCGTTAGGAAACTCGTCCCAGTCTTGAGTACGTGCAACATAAGAGCGTTGTCGGTTGCGCCAGAAAATGGGCCGTACATTCTCTTCGCGTCGGTTGAGGGCCAAGGAGGGTCGCCATGGTAGCGGCTTCTCGAGTGGAGATTCCACATCTGGCAAAAGTTCAAGCTCCTCGAGAACCATGCGTGTGGCTTGTGCAAGGTTCATTGTGTAGCTGAGGTGAGTTAGTACAAGTAGTATAGATATGGTCATGTGGCAACAGTAAGACATACAAGTGTAGATGGGTAATACCGGCGTCAATCAGCCTCCGGCACATGTCAGCGACCAATGTCTTGCCAACTTCACGGACTTCAACATCATCGTTTTTGACAGGTTCCAGAGCCTTTGTCCAGTCATCGGGAATGTGGCATTTTGTCCATTGGGCTCTTCGTAGAAAGGCGGCGTGGGTGTGAATGGGCATGATGCCGGGAATAATTGGAACATCGATGCCCTTGGCACGGACTTTTCGTACCCACTCGAGGAAGAGGTCTGTGTCGTAGAACATTTGCGTTACGATAAAGGAGCCTCCAGCATCGACCTTTTCCTTCAGGTGATCAATGAGCTCATCAACATCGTCGTTGTCATCGCTGCCTTCCGAGTATCCTGCAACGCCAATATCGAAGTGGTTTCCGTACTTTTCCTTGATGTAGACAACCAAGTCCTTTGCGTACCGGAATCCGCCAGCCGTTGCCTCCCATTTCTCTCGCTCACGGGGCGGGTCGCCTCTCAAAGCCAGAATGTTTGTGCAGCCGGCCTGGTATGCTTCTCGGAGGGCCTCGTCGAGCTTGGACTTTTCCATGTCGGTGCAGGTAAGGTGCATGCAGGTCTCGAGACCGTAGACGGACTGTGCGACCTTGACCATTTCGCAGGTCAGTTTGGAGTGGCGGCCGCCGGCGCCCCAGGTAAGATCGATGAACTGGGGGCCGAAACTATGCATGCGGTCCATGCGGTCATAGAGGTTTTGGACACCCTTGGAGGTCAAGTCAGCGCAGTTGCTTTTTGAGGACCCTGGGGATATGCAGTACCTGTGCGGTCTTTGGGGGAAAGAACTCGAAGGAGAAGGTCGGCTTCCCTTCGCGCTTCGCCTGAGCGAGTTTCTGTGAGATGTGCATGGTGGGCAGGGGTTAGAGGAAACAACGAAGGATGGGATGAAGGAAGGGAAAAAAAGAAGGAGAGAAGAAGAGCAGAGAACGATTCGATATCGAGCAAAGAGACTCCGTGGGTACACAACAGGAACAGGTTGCACCCCGCGATGGGCTCACTACGGTGTGTACAAGGATGTATGGGTTCGGTCGGTGTCGAAACTCCGACGGAGCTTATCCAAAGTATCGTTTGCGGGCCCAGCGATCAGCAAGTGTCCGCGACATGTAAGTACGTCAGCTGGTTGGAGTGGCAGCGTGTCAGGGAGCAGTCTGTGCCAATCCGTCTGTCAGTTGTTCAGGTCAGGACTACAACGTGTCAACGAGGCGGTGATGTGCAGTTTTCTCTAGCTCGCAGGTGATTGGAACGAGGTTAGCGCAAGGGCGTGTAGTGAGTCCGGAGGTGACATCGGAGCACTGGCAAGCGAGGCCCATCTTCGGCCACATAATACCTCGCCCCGTGTGCTATGCGGTGAAGAGCCTGCCATGGCCGGCGAGACAGCAGCGCCGGGCGGAGACTGAGTGTCAGTGCAAGTGTACGTGTATAGCAGAGTGGACTTATATGTATACGGGCGAGATGTGGCATCCATGTGGTGGTAGTGCTGTATGGGAGTGTCGGCAGTGCTGTTGCCCCACACTCGAGCTGCGAAACCACCCGCCGTCCCACATCTTCCACCCACGATGCCATTGTCATGACTGCCCTTCCCCGGGTTTTCCCAATACGGCAACCCCGGGGCGCCATCATTGTTGCGCAATTCAGTCTGCACTACTACATATGCAGTACTGCTACCCTGTGTACTCTCTGCACATATGTAGGATGCCGTCGTGTTCACGCGCAATACAATGACAAACCAGCTTTTTCATCCTTGGCTGCTCGTCCACCCCTCCTGACATCTCCCTCTTCCCCTCCATCTCCATCTCCCCAGACACCCGCATACCCACTACCGTCATGCCTCCCATTGCTCGGCCCCGCCGCATTGTCGGCGTCTCGCTGAAAATGTACTTCGACCTGCCCAGCACCCTCTCCTACATCCGCGGTGTCCTCCAACTCGACGGCGATGCCTGGAATGCCCGCACCGATCTCTTTGTCATCCCCGACTTTGTCTCCTTGACCGAATCGGCCCGCATCCTCGAGTCGTCGTCCATTATCCTCGGCGCTCAAGACACCTTCTGGGAGGACAAGGGCGCCTACACAGGAGAAGTTAGCCCGCTTGTCCTGAGACAGGCCGGTGCGAGAATTGTGGAGATTGGCCATGCCGAGCGGAGAGCCCTCTTTGGTGAAAATGACGAGACGGTTGCAAAAAAGGCAGGGGCTGCTGCGAGAAACGGCCTTATTCCACTCGTATGCATTGGCGAGAAGACGCATCATGGTGTCGCTTCAGCTGCCGTCGGAGCTGCTGTAGACGAATGCACCCCCCAGGTCAAGTCGGTCCTGGCTGCTGTGCCCGACGATACCGAGGTCATTCTGGCTTATGAGCCCGTGTGGGCCATAGGCGCAAAAGAGCCTGCAGACCCTGATCATGTAGTCATGGTGACAAAAGCGCTGAGGTCGCTGGCTGCTGGCCGCAAAGGTCTAACAAGAATCGTCTATGGCGGCAGTGCTGGCCCAGGCACTTTTGCAAAGATTGCCGACGGCGTAGACGGCTTGTTCTTGGGCCGCTTCGCACATGATCTCCATAATCTCAAGAAAGTCATAGAAGAAGTCGGTGGTGCTTGATGCGTTTGAAGAAAGAAAAAAACGTTTCCATATCCCAAGAATGCGACATAGTGGAGTTTCAGACTGGGACAAGACGCCGGTGGAGTGACAGAGAGAGAGAGAGAGAGAGAGAGAGAGATCACTTGACATCCCGTGACTGTCCACTCGCGCATCACCTACTCTTCATTGCAGTAGTGTACATGACGAGATCGTGCTGTGCTCTCATCGCCCTATGCTAGGTTACTTCTGCCAGTCTACAAGGCCGAATGGTATGTGTGACGTCCCTTCTTTACCGCTATCGGCTCGCCATGTCTTGCCCATCTACGAGAAATGATATCGAATTCATTTGACCTACGCAACAGTGCAACGGCGTGGCTGATATGTCAAGGCGTGCCCAGCATGCATGCGTACGGCTAGATTTTCATACGTCTTTGAATCCTCGGCCTGGGCATAACCACTCCAGCTTTCATCCATGGAGTTGAGCCCGGTAGCCTTCAAGTCACAACCATTACGAAGTGCGGTCCGGTCACCCGCAATTCGGATATGCGGAACATGCAGTCTCAGTGACAGGTGGGTGTTATGGGGGTGACGAATAAGCTTTGCCTCTCTGTCTCGATGATCGGATAAGCCGGGTACTCCTGTCAGCGTTGAACGTCTAACCATGTCCAGATAACAACCCCTCTAGTACCCTACCCGACGACTCTGCGAGATTCTGAAAACAGCATTGTTCAAATGACGGGTCCATTCCACTCAGTTGCACTCGCTCCCCGGAGGCTCATTTCCAGGTCACTGCTTGACCAGTCATGGTTTTCCAGATCAAGTTAGACCGCTTTCAATACGGAAGGTGTCTGTCATTTTGGTTGATCCTTTCCGAGGGCCTTTCGGACGAGCGCAGCCTACACTACTCGCCATGTGTTCTAGGTGTGCGTGTGCGTCACGCCAGCATGGCTCGATGCTACTCACCCCTCAGTAGTTCAGTGCGGGGGTGAAGTCTTCGATCAATGTGCACCAAACACCGACTCTCCCCTACAAGCCTGATCCACCCATCGTGGCCTTTCGCCGGTCCATGCCGGGATGCTCTGAGCCTTGAGAACCATCATTCGGCCCGGCATTCGATGTCGGAGTAACATGGTTCGTCTCAACACAGAATTGATTGTGCGATTGGCTTGCTCTGAGCCTAACCACAACAGCATAGGCGACCAATGTTGCGTCTTCAACTACCACGAGCAAAAGTTGTATGAGGGGTACTTTGCCCACAAACTAAGGTATGAGGAAATAAGGCTGGGCTGGCAACCATACGTCCGGGTTTAGCGTTTTTAGCGCCTTTCCCCGCAAACTCAACCCGTTAGCGCCGGTCCGACGATCGTTTGGCTGCCCAGTCGAGCTTCCCCATCCACCCCCAGCTTTCACCTGCCGTTTCTCCGCTCGACTCCTCGAGATCGGCCATATGGACTAGAGTCATTGGTCTTCTAATGGCCATTGCCTACCAGGCCCATGTACGTGTCATGATCCCTGATGCATACCATTATCATTGTCACTTGTTCGGGCGGTATGATCGTCGAGCTCTTGACAATACAGAGTGAATAGATTCATCCAAGTGTACAGGGTGCCCCCATGAGAAAAGGTGGATGAGGTACTGTGTGGTATAATCATGGCACCAGCATCCATGCCAGAGTGGTATACATGCAGAAGAGACGCTGAGAAGATGCTTGGTGTTTCCAAAGTGGCTACTCCCTCCACCCCGCTCCCGTTCCTAGGGTTGTTTTGTCACGGAAGCCACGTTCTCGATTACGAAACGCCTCCTCATGACCTGAACGAATCAAGGTCTGGATCCATTGCCGGCCCTAACCTGGCCATGCCTGCCTTCCCGCCAATTCGATTTCCTGTGCCATGCTCAGGGCGGAGCCGCAACGGCCGGTCATCGTATTCATCCTGCATTGGGGCATCTGTACGCCGCCTTTTGCATACTTGGTGTTGATCACTTGCTTTCGTCCGCAGCCACGCTTGTTCGTAATTGACATCTGTGCTCCGGGTTTCCCGAACATTTATGACCCTTGCTTGCTTCATCGATTGTCGTGTCTACCCTATATTAGCTCTCTCCTCCCCAGTCTCTTAGCTTCCCATGTCCAATCACGATATTTCTGCAGATACCACCGCCTCCCCTACTTCCCCCACCCGCGGTCATTACGACGAGCACTTGATTCTCAACTCCGATTCTGCAACAAGCGCACCCTTCGATAACCACACAGTCTGTATGGACTCGCCAAACGGCGCTCATCTGAGCCCAACTCGGGACGCAGAGACACTGTCGGCTGGATCAACTGCAAGGAACGAATCAACAGCAAGAACCATGGATGTCAACAATTGTTTGGAAAAGGACTTTTCACAGCCCAATGGTGAGATCTCAAGATATTGCTGGTTACAGCTTCAAGCTGACAATACTAGGATATGGCAACGGCTTTCCTGGGCACCTCAACCTCGATGCTTCAGTTGATTCCAATACCGCGCTTCATCATATCCGGACAGCAGGCAGTATTTCCATCTCGCCAGAATTGTTTGAGAAGCTCTATCTCTCGCCCCCAAATAAAGTAAAAGGCGAATTAAGGAAGACCTTCGGCAACCCCACACCAATGTATGCTTTCTGTGTTTATTTGGTCTTCCTTTGACAGCTACTAACATTGCCAGCGCTATCATTGGTTTCTTGCTGTCTCTGTTTCCGCTGAGTATGACTCTTATGGGTTGGCGAGGCGCTGGAGGTACTGGCGCGGCGAACATTGGGTGGTATTATTTTGCCGGAGGTCTTCTAATGGTTCTTGGTGGCCTTGGTGAAGTATGCATAGTCTTCTCGCTTCACTGAAGACGATACTGACTGTCAATAGTGGATTCTAGGCAACACCTTTCCATTCGTCGTATTCTGTTCTTTTGGGGCTTTTTGGCTAGGCTTCGGCGCTACACTCCAGCCGTTTTACAACGCATACGGGGCATATGCCAATCCCTCAGTCCAAGGCAGCACAGGTCTGGAGTCCGTCGGCTTTAATGTCGGTATCGGTACGTCAAGAGCAACATAAAACGTGTATGTGCTTCTGACTTTTGTTATAGCATACTTCCAAATCGCCATGGCCATCCTGTGCCTCATCTTCCTCATCTGCTCCATCCGTACGAACTTGGTCTTCTTCATGATCTTCTTCAGTCTGACGCCAGCATTCGGCCTTCTAGCGGGTAGCTATTTTCAGGCTGCCAATGGCAGGGCATCTCTTGCTAAGAAGCTAGCCGAGGCTGGTGGTGCATTCTGCTTTGTTGCATGCTTATGCGGATGGTACATATTCTTTGCTATAATGCTGGCCAGTGTCGATTTTCCCTTCAATATCCCCAGTAAGTTGCTGATTATGAAAATGACCGCTTTTGTACTTGCTAAATCAATACAGTTGTGGACCTGTCCAGTGTAGTCAAAGGGGCGAGCGAGAAACGCAAAGTCGAACACGTTGAGTGAACACGCACTGCGGTCAGTAAGTCATCGAAATGGGGTGAGATGTGTTCGGGATGGCTGGTGTGCTGGTTGCCAAGGGGTTGGCCGTGGGACGGCAAGTAGATGAAACTCATGCTGTTCGCATCACACGACCAAAGGTGAGATTGCGAAATGCCGCACATATAGCCAAAAGGCTGCTTGCCAATGTTCATAGCTCTCGTAATGTTCATATAATCACATATGCCAACGAGAGATATAGTTCTGATGGATCATAGCCCAACACTCGTCTGAAAGGTATCCCAGGGTTCCTTGTCCACTTGGTGGACGGACACTACCGTGGAAACACATCGGTTGTATGAGCATTGCGTTTTGCTGGAAGCGCCAGAAGCACAAACTCTCACAGCTGACAGCTGGTCTGAGACAAATTATTTGAGAGGGCATAATATCTCAGTCTGCTTTCTCGACGGTGCTGCGTTGCGCATTAACATTTGTGTAACAGGAGTGACATGTCTGACACTGGGAAATGATTTGCGGGTCTGCTGGTCCGGACCGTTCAAGCAAACCGGTGGTTCGTGCGTCTATACCAGTACTTATATGTGTACAACACACGAACAGGTCACGATAGTTAGCCAAAAGAAAGGAAATTCCACCCATGTTCACTGATATCTCGACGTCATTTCATAAAATGATTTACCCGGTGGGAGTAGACAGCATGCAGCAGAACACGCGTCACGACATTGCCCCCACAACACAGCCGCGGAGACAAATGAGTACTTCATCAAGTAAATCCTCACAATCGCCCAATTTCTCTCGTCCATATCTGCAACAGACAGTAACAAGGAAGCCGGTTTCAAGATCAACTGGCTCGCTTCCCCTCGCAAACGCAGCACCAATATCACACCAAACCATCATTGTAACACAAAAACCACACATTAGCAAAGGCCACCAACCCGTCCGCACAAAAACACGACGACGACCAAAAATGGGAACCTACTTTTTAACAGGCGCAAACCGCGGCATTGGCCTCGAGTTTGTACGCCAACTCGCCGCCAACCCCTCCAACACCATCATCGCAGGCGTCCGTTCCAAATCCATCGACCTATCCGACCTCCACTCCCTAAACTCAAACAACAACATCCACATTGTCGAATGCGACGTCGGCTCCCTCGATTCCCTCTCCGGCATCGAATTCCGCGTCGCCGAGATCCTGAGCAAAAAATCCAGCAACCTCGACTTCCTCTTCAACATTGCCGGCATAAACGCTACCAGCAGCGACACGAGCCTGACGTTGGACCCAAAAAGCATGGCCGAGCACATGCAAACCAACGTGCTTGGACCCGCGAAAATCGTCCAGGTCCTCCGCAGGTACCTCGCTCGCGGCGCCACTGTGCTGAATATGTCGTCGGGCCTCGGTAGTCTGGCTGTTTCGTCCGAGATTACAAAGTGCTGTACATATAGTATGTCCAAGGCGGCGCTGAATATGTTGACGGTGCATCAGAGTAAGGATTTGAAAGGGAATGGAGTCAAGGTTGTTTGTATGGACCCGGGGTGGGTTAAGACAAGGATGGGAGGGGAGGGGGCAGTGCTGGAAGTGCAGGATAGTGTGAGGAATATGTTGGATGTCGTGGCGAATTTGAAGGAGGCGGATAGTGGAAAGTTTTATAGACAGGACGGGGAGATCGTACCGTGGTAATCGGGTTCTTCGGGAGGGGGGGGGAATACATTAATTACTTTTACAATCTTTGGATGAGAGACTGTGTGTTGCGAGAGTGTTCAGACGTCAAGATCCTTGTGCATATCCATGAGTTCGAAGACATTTTTAGATCTCTTGATGTTTTCCTGTTTCCCACGCCCTTTTTTTCCCCCATTCTTTTGAAACCACCACATCCCAGTCTCGATTTTGACGGCCCGAATAGTGTGCGATGAAACTACAGGTCAATAAAGAGAGTGGATGTAAATGGTTGAAAATTTCGTTTTAGAATAATTCTCCTATCCTATCAAGCTGCCACATCAATCGAGACCAGGTAGTGAGCCCCTCTTGTTCAAAGTTCCCTGTATCTCGAAGTTCCTTGCTCAGGCGGACAATAAAATTCATGCTTTTCAAACCAACACGCCGCAGTACACCCCTCTCTCAGAGTGTTCGACGTGAAGTATCATCTCGCACAGTCTCACTTCGAACGAGCAAGACATTCCATTCTCGAGCCTCACCCACTCGCCTAACGAGTCACCGACTCATCGATATAAAGCCCTTGAATTTCACCCTTGATATCCTGAATACTCCTTGTACAAACAAGACCCACGTCCCTCTAACCTCTACCCTAACTTAGCCCTCATCCTGTAGCACACCCCTATCCTTCTTCCCCCCACAAGTCTTGCCTTTACAAAATACACATCCGCCCGCCTCTATTCCTACATCAACCTCGACATATCCTGCGAAATCATCCAGTTTGCCCTCTTCCTCGGCACTGCATAGTAATGTCGAAATCTTCCTTTTGCGTTTCATATTTTTTTTAGTCATCACACGATAAAAAAAATTAGAAACCCCCCCCCCCCCAACAAGAAGTCCTGAACCACACACCAGACACAAGATTTCGATCAAGACTTCTCTAATCAAAACGATGATAGAAGAAAAAAAACGGTAGTATACTGTGATACCCATCTATCCAAGTCCCAAGCCCATCTAACTCCCGAAAAATGCAACGCTAAGCCCTACATAGCCACCAGCAACCCAAAGAAAATACCTTCTCAATACCAAAATCTATTCTTCTTGTTCAGCCAAAAAGAAGGGGAATGCTACGCAAAACACGCTACTCAGCCAACGCTTCCATACCCAGTCACTCTGACCACCCCCATCCCAACTCTCTTTACACAGCCTTTGGTCGCCTAAAAGGATGCGCTTCGGTGTTGAACACCCACTCATCAAGATTGATCATATCAGGGGTGCTAAATATGAGATAAAAATACTTGAGCGTCTCCGCCGTCCAAAACGACTCCATCTTGTTCTCAATGTTCTTGTCACGCGCACTTGACTGCCCTGCTGCACCAGACACAGTAGAAGTAGGAGCAATAATAGTAGGATCTTGTGGTGCAGCAAATGTAACGTCGCGGACCTGGCCGTACGCATACGTTGTTTCGGTGGCAGCAACAATGCTGTTGAACATGTCCCATGCGCTGTCAAGGTAGTGCCGGTCACCTGTGATGCGGTACATGATGAAGACGGACTCGATTGCTTCGGGACGAAGTAAATATCTGCGATCGCGAATATTGGTGAATCCAGTGGGAATGCTGTATTTTTCAACGGCGGCATCGAGGTCGTCAATGTACTTGTTGCCGTAGTGGGTGAGGACGCTTTCGGCCCAGGTGGTGCGGTTCCAGGGACAGGAAATGCGCGATTTGCACGGGACCATGTCGAAGGTTTCGGGCATGATGCCGGTTTGGGTGGCGGCATAGCTGTAGACGCAGCCCTTTGTGAGTTTGGCGCCGAGGTCGACATGTTCTTTGATGGAGAAGATCCGGCCTGCTAGACCGAACATGCCGCCGATGAAGCATGTTAGGTGCTGCATGGTTGGATTTAGAGTGATTTGGTCGCTATAAGCAGACACGTCGCCACAGAGTAGCAAATTCTCGCCATGGTCCTTGTCAGGCACCATTGGTCTGAAAAGCATGTACTCGTCAATCTTCCTTGCAGAGTCGCGATACAGCTTCTCGTACACGGGCTCCACACCACCGAGCAGCGCATGCATTTTGGGAAAGTACTCGTACGTGCTATCTGCCAGCGCGCCAATCGAAAAGGAGCCCGATAGAGTAAAATCCTCACGCGCAACATTGACCATAGTCGGCCAAAGCCCCGGTATCTTTGTGGAATTCTGGACATGGTCCATAAGTAGAGTGACTCTGGCTACAGCGTCATAATACTTTGGCTCAGACGTAATCTGTGCAAGGCGCGTAAACTCCATGGTTAACGAGCCAAGGCAGGCAAAGCAAATATTAGTCTCGGCATCAAAGGCATCTCGGTCGACCTTCTTGGCCCTTTCCACACTCATCCAGCCCAGTGGTGTGTTGTTTGTCGTGTCAAAGGCCCGGTACAACATTTCTCCAAGTTGAATTGCTTTCTTAAGCAAGATTGGCTTGCCGCTCATGTCGTATGCGCTCAGCAAACCCCCTAGGTATCGAATTGTCGTTTCAAAGACGCTGACACTCGTGAGGTTCGTCCTGCCGAAGTCGATTGCCGCAACTGCCTCTACAGCCTCGTCAAACTCTTCTCGAAGGCCCATAATCCATAGGGTATCGAGTGAATCGACCAAGGTAGCACCCCAGCCGCCAAACGACTCCTCGCCTTCTGCCGTGACAGGCTTGAGCTCATCCTGCGCCCAAGCGTATGCCCTGTAGCTCTCCCACGTACGCTTAAAGACACTCCGTACTGCAATTCTTTGCGACTCCCTCTGTTTTCTCTGCGCACGCGTTTCGGGAAAGTATTCAGCCTGGATGGGCGGGAGTTTGTGGGGTTTACTGGTCGGTAGCGGGATGTAGGACGAAATGCGGTTTACAAAAGGGGCTTTGCGCCAATCGTACGACTGCTGCGATTCAAGGCTGGCGAGACTAGGTCCTTCGTGCATGTACGCTTCGTGGTCTTCAAAAGGAACAGCCAACGGGTCGATGGGCTCCCCGAAGAACCTGTAGCATACGCCGAACAGGACAGCCGCACCGAGCGCGTAGAGCAGGAAGCGTTTGTGTTGCCGAGACATGGGCTGCTGGTATGGTGCCCCGCGGGGCACTTTGATCCTACGCATAGTAAGACGTGCGGTGGAAACTATAGTCGCTCATTGAGTGAACGATTTAAAGGAGATTGGAACGACCAAGTAAGCAGCCACCACCGGCCGTGTACTGCCTACAAGGCTGGACTAGAACAATTGCACCGTGTCAGAGTGTCGAGTAAGTAACAGAGTGACAGGAGGTGCTTAGTGCAAAGGTGCTGACCCGGGGGCGTTGTAATATACGAAATATAGTGGAGATGGACTCGGCGCTTTAGGACACCTCTCAGGTGAGAGACAACGTAGGGGACGGGACCCATATGCCAAGGCAACATGGATTGCCGATCAAACCGAAGCTACACGACGAGGTCGTTCCGGTAGCCGTAGCGTTAGTAAAATTCACCATGGCGCGTGGCGCTGGAATATACAATGGTGCGTACAGGCGACCGTGTACTTGACTGCAGTGCATGGGTGCAGTTGCAGGGGCTTGCGCTAAAGGCGGCCCCTCTCCCCTGCGCATTGGTTCCAACGCGAACCACACCACTCACGTAGCGAATGGTCAGTATAATGCCAGCCAGTAAAGTTTGCCCCTCTTTCCCCTGCCAGAACGACACAATATGCACAATGTAGTCCAATTGATCAAATGTCATTAATTTGCTCCATCATTTCGTCTTACATACAATACACAGCCAGTCGCCCAAAGACCCAGAAGCCCAACACCATGCCTTTTTTTCTCTAAACCTCATGCGGTCTTCATCCAGGAACGCCAGCTATTGTACAGTGGGCAGCGGAGGCCGCCCGTAGAGTGGTGAGGGATACGTCAAGATCGACGGTATAGATGCAAAAAGTGTCGAACATAGAAAAGACGAGAACATCATTGCGACGAATACTCCGAAAACTCGGAATGCCTACGATGGCGGGAACATTGTAGCTCAAGATACAACTGTTCTTGGTTTACTCGGATTTTTGATCAGGCTCAAAAAAGACCTTGCGTGTTATCTGAGTCACCGTTAGCGAATTTCCCAGCTTCAATGGCCGTCCAACTTACCGCCCAGGATCCTGCGACTGTGGCGCAAATACCCGAACTAATGGCCATTTGCCTCGTCCCTCTTGTGCTCTTGAAAATGGCACCGCTTAAGGCGCCGGCGACTATACTGTTGCTCATCTCGTGCTTTCCTCTGTAGTAGCCAATGGTGCTGTTTATTCCATTGTACACCATGGCGATCACGCCTGCACTGTTTCCCAAAAACGGCCCTCTCCGCGTTATCGCATTGAGCACACCGTTGAGCCGCAACCGTGGTGGCATGCTGGGCGGGTTCTTCTGTAGTCCCTCTGCAAGTCCCCATGCGCCACCAATTGTCAGTGCCGTGAGGTACGAAACTCCGGTGCCATAACATAGGTCGTCTGACCAGCCACGCGAGGGCAAGGCAGATTGCGAGCCAGGAAGATCGGATGGGAGCTGGTCTTCGAGTGAGAGGTATTCGAGCGTCTGTTGGTTGAGGCCCGCAAGAGGGTGCAATTGTGTGGGGTCGAGGATGAACTCGGAGGGGTTTTGGATGGCGGTGCTGGGGTCGAATGGTGTGGGCTGGAAAGTATCTTCTTTTACAAAGTCGTTACTTGGTGGCGGTTGTGGTGCGGCCTCCTTGGCTTTGCGTCCCGTTAATGTATCCCAGCTGGCATAGGTGTCAGCAGGTCTGGAATTGAGGTTTCATTGGGAGTCACAAAGAAAGCACATACATAGCCATATTGAAGATGTCGTGCTGTGCCGGTACAAAGAAAAGATAAGAGGCTGCGCCGGATCGCTATCAAGACCCCGTAACCTACGAAATAGGGGGAGAGAAGAAAGCAGAGAAAGGAAAAGCGTGGAATGGCGCAGGGCGGAGAGGCGCAGGGCAATGGGGCGTGTGCTGGGGCGTCGGCGGTGATGTCGCGAAAACTTCTGGCGAGCAACATTGAACAGTGACGAACGACACCGTGCACGGACCTTTCTCGAAGGGTCTCTGCTTCCGAGCTCGGAAAGAAATCATGGAAAACGCCCACCACTCGGAACACACACTCACTAATACCCATCCCACGGCCCAGGAGCAGCAATTCGCCATGGCACTCCCAGAATTCAAGCAAAACTTCCTCAAGGACTGTGTGTCGGCGGGTGCACTAAAATTTGGCACCTTCACTCTCAAGTCCAAACGCATTTCGCCCTACTTCTTCAATGCGGGGCTATTCCACAGAGCCGACTTGCTGCGCTCAATATCTTCGGCCTACGCCCACACACTCAAGGCGCACGGCGAGGCCGATGCCTCTTTCCAATGGGATATCCTCTTCGGACCCGCATACAAGGGCATTCCCCTCGCAGCGGCATCAGTTGATAAACTTGCCGATCTGGATCTCGCCAAGTACGGACAGAAGAGCTACAGTTTCAACCGCAAAGAGGCAAAAGACCACGGTGAAGGTGGCAACATTGTCGGTGCCAGCCTCAAGGGAAAGAAGATTGTTATTGTCGACGACGTCATCACCGCTGGTACTGCGATCCGAGAGGCTATCGACATCATCAAGAGGGAGGGCGGAGAGTTGGTTGGGATCATTGTTGCCTTTGATAGGCAAGAAAAGACTCCTACTGCCACTGACGATGACGGTAAGCCTGGGCCAAGTGCAATTGGCGAGGTGAGGAAGCAGTACGGTATCCCAGTGCTTGCTATCCTAACACTGGATGATGTGGTCGAGTATTTGAGGAGTCTGGGCGGAGAGGAGGACCTGAAGAGGCTAGATGAGTACAGAGCCAAATACAGGGCCAGCGACTAAGACGATGGGGGGTTTCTTGGAGATAGATTATGATACCACGCGACTCAGATCATGCAGGCATGGCAGAGCAAGCACGAGAAGACTTGCTGGCTCGAATACTGCCTGCTTTGCATCCAATGCCATGTCTATGAAGGTTTTTTTCTCAAATTGTTTAATTGTTTGTTCTCTCTTCTTCAATTTCTAGTCCTTTACTCGCTTTGAAAATGTCTTGCCCTTCATCACACAGCCAGAGAGATTGCACAATACATAACATGTTGCATAAGCCATTCGGCAGTCGATGTTACAGAGGTATTCGTCATCTCTTCATACCAGGACTCGAGCTGAACATCGGCAGCGTAATGTAAAGTCGTACAGACTAACGTAAAACGCCCATCGTTTTGATAGGCAAAAGGAGCATCTACCTCATGCAAGCTCATAGAAGATACCCATCACCAACTCTAAGGACCCGCCTCTCAGACTGTAGTCCCAGCCCGGAACGCCAAATTACATAGCATCTGGTAATCATCGCCAATCACTTAAGCCTTCTTAGCAAACTCGACACGAAGGATAAGATGACCGAAACCGACTGTAGCTTGTTAGTGTTTTCCCAGCATATAATGCTATACCAAAACTTACATCCGTCCATCTTCTCGCACGCCTTTGCAGCATCTGATCGGTCTGCATAACTGACAAAGGCGAAACCCTTGGCGCGACCAGTTTCCCTGTCCTTGGCCAAGAAGACTCTGGTAACATGTCCGTATCTTGAGAACATGTCGCGCAAATCTTGCTCCTCGGCAAACTCGGAAACGTTGGTGACACGGAGGGTGGCGCTATCATCACGATCAAACTTGCCGCCCATCTTCTCGCCAGCACCACCACGTCCACGCAGATGTGGTGGCACATATCCTCCAGATCCAGCACCAAGACCGCCTGACGCGCCAACGCCGGGCGCATCGTCGGGCATGTCTGCAGGCGCAACATCGCCCTCGGGAGCCATGGTATCCTTGAACGGACATTTTGTGGTGAAATGGTCGCCCTGGCAAATACGGCACTTGATCTTTGCGTTCTTGAGCTCAGCCTTCTTCTTCGCCTCGTCACCCTTGTCCTCGGTGCTTGCTTTCCAGTTCGATACTGGCCGGAACACGATGTTCTCAGCCACAGAGACGGTATCTGTTTGTGGGCCGGGTGGCTTGCCCTTTTCTTGACCAAACTTGGCCCATTGCTTTCTTTCGGCGACACGTGGGTTTACAACTTGCTTGACGACGGTCTTCTTGATGCGGCGAGTGGTCTTGATCTTCTTGCCATCCTCAATACGGTAGGAGATGACTGTTTCGGTTCCGTCTTTGTTCTTAATAACTTGGTTGGGTGGGAGGGAGGTGAGGGACTCCTCGTCGTCTTCTTCCGCCCAGTCGGTGCGGCTACATGGTTATCGTCAGCATATTGACTTTTTATCGACGGTCGGTTGAGGCGAAATAGAGGACGATTGGGCGCGCCAGAGAATCCAGGACAGCGGGTTGCGCATGAATGCACAGGGCGTAGATAGACTCACCCTGCAGGTCGTGACATGTCAGCGGCTATGTATGTGCTGTTCTGTATAGGCGTCGGTCCTGAAGTTGGGGTTGTTGTCAGATACAGCACGGTAAGAAGTGGCGGCCGGTGGGGCAATTCAATGTGTGCGCTGCGCCGCCAAGATTTCGCGCTAATAGCACCTGTCAGTCAACCCCTTCAAGGCTATCGTCTACATCTGGCTTCGCCCTAACACTGCAAGCGCTCAAACTTGGGGCCTAGTAGGAAGGATAGGCTGGGAGTATATACATCGAGTCGGAGAGATTTATAATTGAGGGCACTGGTCGTACGCATCCAAATGCACCCCCGCCATTCTTGAGGCCCATCACTTCACTCTTGTATGCAATTGCGGGATACTAACTCTACGCCCGCACCTTTACATGCTGAATAGTACGCACGAAAACACTTGTTAGTGCCCTTGATACATGCTCATTTTTCCATCTTTTTCCATCTCTATACAGCATGCGAGAGGGGTATACATAGATATCGTTTTCCGTCCGTACGACATCACGTGAGCTGACCAGGATAAGCATCTAACTCGGGCAACTGCACTTGACTTCTTTTTCTTACCTCCCTTTCAACCCGCTTCTATCCTCTTCTCGATCCCCGGTATCGAGCGACATGTACCCGACTAGAGCGGGCTACATAAAGTTACTCTATCTTTCCCCACTTCCAAGTGCTGCTTTAGCGCCTTCCCTGTTTTAGCATCTTCAGTTACATACCTGGGTGGCCTTTAGCAAGGTGACCACTAGCGAATCCCCGCTGTTGTACGTACCTGGTTTTATAACTTTTTTCCCCAAGTTGCTCAAGTCACATTGGCAGAGTCCTGGTATGCCGATTACAGTGGTCAGTCTAGATTGCATCGGTCACCAGGGACTATCCTCTCACAGAATTAAAAAATGTCATTGGTGTGCTGATAACAAAGGTAGTGATGAGCTATAGGTAACCTCACCCAATTCCGTGAACTCGTTCTTTTTGGAACCTCAAAACTCAATCAAATAAAAGATGACTTTGCATCGCCATCTTTAGTCTTCGGAACCTAGATTCCACTGTACTCGGCCACGCCCAGGAACTGCCAACTGACCGACAGGCACTGGCTTGGGATGCTGAATGACATCGCTGTTCGTTCTGGCAATCGTCTGTGCCATCGGCTTTGGCGTACTAGTAGGGAATGATGTCTCGCTGCCACCCCTGGGTAGCCTCGGTTTCTGAATGTGGTGAGGCGAGCTAGGTGCATTAAAGTCGTTGACAAAGGGAAGTTGCGAAGGCACTGGATGTGGATGTGGATGTTGTAGTTGTTGCGGTGGTTGTGTAGATTGCGGCGAGCCGTGACCGTGATCGAGGAACAAACTATGGCTTATAAGTATCCTGATACCATGTGCAAATGTGGAAAATGTCAAAGCTAGTCAGGGATAATCTTACTCTTGTGGTTGAGCACTTCCCCTCCGACTTGTCTGCACACTACTGGCCATGCTGCCACTTCCCGTTCCACCTACCGTGCTGCCGCACGCACTGCCATAAATCGCTGCATGCTGTGATTGTGGAGTAGCGGGAAGCCACCCACTGCTTGTGATCCCCTCGACATCCATAAGGCGTTGAAGCAAGTCTTCGGTGATGACAAGCAAATGTTCCAAAGCAGCAAGACGCGAGGTTTCCTTTGCAGAACAGCAGTGAATATATGATTTACTGGATGGATTGTGTTCGACGATGCACGCCCCAACTCTTCTTGACGAAGTCGGAGCGAAGCTTATCACGTCTAAACATCGATTCGGTCCATAGATCGCGCGCGCGTTCGCTACGACAAGTTAGATTTTTGTCACCAGCACTGAACAACATACGTACCGAGTACTCTTGTCCGGATGCTTTCCAAGGCATACTCCGAGTCCTTGTCCTCCATACGGTGCAATATTTGGCTCGCTGTCCGCTCCAATGCTAAACTGTCGTAACTGCTGCTTTTTCCGTGCTTCATGTCCTTGAAAACCTCGATCATCCGAGCTAGTACGTTCCAATACGAGTACTCGGCGGAGGTTTGACTTTCTGGATCTATTCGACTGTTCAGATCTCGAAGAAGCTAGGGATTCGGAAGTGTTAGTACGTTTAAGCGGCCCGAACTTTTCAAAGGATGCTAGTTCTTTGGCAAGGTTCTTCCACGAAGAAGTTCTTGAGAGCTCCTTCTCGGAGTTTGTACGACTTATGTTTGGTGAGCTTCCAGCTGACCTCGAGCCGTCGAATTGTCGCGAACTCCTGCGCTGCTGGAAGCGAAGCTGAATTAAACGCTCTTCGTAATCTGCAGCTTCCTTTAGGCGTTGTTCCCTTCTGAGATTGTAAATGTCTTGTAGAGAACCGTGTCTAGTGAGACGATGGGGGTGTTTGGGATGCCAGGGATTGAGCTGTGGTCCCAATGCAACTCTTTCAGCAAGTGTCGGCGGTGGCGTGCGCTGAGAATCCCTTCTAATACGGGTGGAGTGCTGCGATGTTCCCGACCTACTCGAGCTCAATGACCTTGGTTTATGATGTGAGTCCGCGGAATTAGCCCTGATTCGGCCAGGCCTCGCGTATGATGGATCCAGGATGTCCGCTTCCTCGATGGTATCAAGTAGAAAGGTTCGCCGGTATTCTTCTTGCCAGTACTGTGCAGGTAGCCCTTGTATTAAACAAGTAAAGGGGAGCGTTGTGACGACTGCGAGATGCGCCTGTGATTGAATTAGCAATCTGGTAATACACATCCTTGATTTTGAATCGTTGATTCGGATCAAAAAAACATACTCAACGCGAAGGTGACTGCAGAGCCAACGAGGCTCGCATCAAAGTATTGCGTTGTGTTGTAGTGAGCCGAAACAATCCCAGGCAAGTGCCAGATGGCGAACCCGGAGCTTTGGTAGTTGACGTATTGTATCGGTGAGAGTTGCCAAAGGATGAATGGATGGAATGAGGAAGAAGTTAATGAGGAAGTATAGCAAGACAATAGTAGTGTCGACAGTGCTCAAGTAGGATGTTTTTGAGCAGCCATCTACTGGTATGGATGAGCAGCGAGCGATGAGGTGAACGATGAGGGAAGACAAGGTTGAGCGTGATGCAATATGTTTTGTGATGGCAGCGGCAAGAAGCGTCGGCTGGCAGCTACAGCCCGAAAGATAGCACCAAGCAGCAACAGCAGTCGGTGTGAACGGTATTGACGACCACGGAATTCTATAACAACAAGCATATCGTGGCCTGCCGATCACTTACATTTCGTGATTGCGCTATTACATAACTCCCGTATCATCTTACCTGCTCATTCACACACACCGAGAAGATCGAGTGCCGGTATGTATCTGATGTTTTTGGAATAGTGCAGTGTCAACATGCCCACTATCACCATCTCTGCAGAGTGCACATCACATGACGAGAGTCGTTCCAACATCACTTCATATATGCCTCCTACTATTGCAGTCAAACACGGTCATGAAAACAAA